TTGGCTTCATCGTGTCGGAGATACAAGGCAAGTCGGCAAGCAAGACTGGCAAGCAGCAGCAGCAGGCGGCGGCAAGCAAGACCCTCGCCTCTGGCGCCCACCCGCGCAGCGGCGCCCTGTCTGTTGAGTCGCTGGCTGGCGACAGTGAGCGGCTGGTGGTGGTGGGTCTGTCATGCCGGCTGCCTGGCGGGTCCAACGGTGTGTCGCGGTTCTGGGAGATGCTGATGAACGGGACGCACTGCATCGAGGAGATTCCTCTGACGCGCTGGAACGTGGACGAGTGGTACGACGCGGACCCTGATGCCCGCAGCAAGATCTACACGCGCGAGGCGGCCTTCATCGACAATGCCGAGTACTTCGACAATGGGTTCTTCAACATTTCACCTGCAGAGGTGACGGTCATGGACCCCCAGCAGCGGCTGATGCTCGAGGTCGGCTTTGAGGCCTTCCACAGCGCGGGCCTGAGTCGCGAGCAGCTCCTCGGACAGAACATGGGCGTCTTCATCGGCTGCTGCAACCAAGACTGGAACTTCGTCAACATCACCGAGAAGAGCAGCAGCTACTCGGGCACGGGAGCCGCAACCAGCATCGTCGCCAATCGTGTCAGCTACATCTTCGGCCTCAAGGGACCCAGCATGACACTCGACACGGCCTGCTCCTCGTCGCTCGTCGCCCTCGACTCGGCCGTCAAGAACACCCAGCTCGGCGTGTGCCAGGACGGCGCCCTCGTGGGAGGCGTCAACCTGATGCTCTCTCCCTTCGCCTTCGTCGCCTTCTCCAAGGCCCGCATGCTTGCGCCCGACTGCAAGTGCAAGACGTTCGACGCCAAGGCCAACGGCTACGTGAGGGGCGAAGGCGCGGGAGCGGTGGTGCTGCGCCGATCGAGCGACACCCGACAAGTGGCGCTGGCAACGATCGTCGGCTGTGCCGTCAACCACGATGGGCGGAGCGCCAGTCTGACGGCTCCCAACGGCCCGGCCCAGCAAGAGGTGCTTCGGTCGACCTTGGCGCAGGCCAACCTGTCGCCCTCTGACGTGTGCTACATCGAGACGCACGGCACGGGCACCGCTCTCGGCGATCCCATCGAGCTGGGCGCCCTCAAGAGTGTGTTCGGTACTGAAGGGGCGGAGGGGGAGGACGCGACGATCCGGATGGCTCATCCGCTGGTGCTGGGCGCTCTCAAGACCAGCATCGGGCACCTGGAGGGGTCGGCAGGCATCTCGGGGCTCATCAAGCTCATCCTCACTCTCCTGCACGGCGTCGCCCCGCCCAACCTGCACCTGAATCAGCTCAACCCCCACATCGACACGGACGGCTTCAACGTCCTCATCCCCACACAACCCGTCAAGCTCCTCAGGGCCAACAGCAGCCAGCACCAAGAGCAAGGCGAGACTCTGCCGGTCCTGGTCGGAGGCGTCAGTTCCTTCGGCTTCGGCGGCGCC